ACCCCCCAAAAACCCAAAAGTCGTGGATTTAAGGATATGAATTTTGGGCAATATGCACGAATAGCTATCTACTGGCACTTGATTGACTCAAAATGTATAGGATATGCATTTACGAACTACAAAAACAGCCTAACTTGACTTTTTCAGCGCCTTGACCCGAAATTCCCGCCAAAAAAGCGAAAAATCGCATTTTCTCAAAATCGGCCCCATCACAGATTTCGCGGTTTGTTGTTCCTCAATCAGTAGGCCTTCTAGTTGACATTTACGCAAAAAAATCGCGGGTGGTATGTTGACCGCATTAAAATTGTTTAAAACGCACCGTGTGGCGTGATACGTAAGAAACTATGAAACCTTGGGAATTTTCCGTGATATATTTTCGGAAATTTCACGAACCTGTGGAGGGTATGAATTTTAAGAACTTCTGGAAATTATTTTCCAGGGGCTGGTATGTAACCCGTACGTAAATGAAAGAAACTCTGGTCTTTGCCACCCTTCTCTCAATTTTAAATTATGAATTTCAATACCTTATTCATTTCTGAATATTTCAAGAGCGATTTCATGAAATTGTTCCATCCTGGTCCAGCGGACCAATAATAGATCATAAGACAAGGTGCGAATTTAAGCAAAATGACGAATGTTTTCTAGTTGAAATTTCACGTACAGCACGATCGCGCACCAAAAATGTTTGGAAGTAACTCCTAACTAAGATATTCAATATTTTTTGATGCGTAAATTCGATGGCGTGCGCACGCATGGATTAATTCACTTGGAGACTTCGACGCAAAGATAGAAAAGTAAGACAATGGACCAGTAGACTATGTACAACTTAAAACGTCACCCAACCAAAATTTCACGCAGAACACGATTTACGCAACAAAAATTACCGAAACTGGCGGTACCATAACAGTCTTTGCGTTAAGAAAATATGACAACCTCAATCCCAGCGTTTCGGCTCAGCTGTCGCACGTTGTTAACACTTCGCAAAAAAACAAGGCAAGGGAGGAACATCCCTTGATTCAGAGAGCCTGCGAAAACCGTTGTAGTACGCGATTTGATTCAAGTAGACTATTGTTCTTCTTGTAAGCGGGAAATTCAAATTTCCCAGTTGGGCTGATCGTGTTCCACATGAAATTTTGGTCAGAGAACATGTATTGTATTAGAATACTGCAACTCACTTTTTCGAGTGGTTCATTGTTGAATCCTTATATCGAACGACTTTTTGATTTGGACTGCATTTTGGAATTAGAAACTACAAATTCTGACTCACTTTAGGAACAACGTGTGCACCATTAGTTTCCCTAAGCGCATAATTGTTTTTACATTGGTGCACATTTTACAAATCGTAGTTTCTAAAGTGCGAAATGTAGTCCAATTCCTGTCTTGGCAATGCTGTATATCGATTCAGATCGTTTGATAACGACTCGACAAACGACTAGCAGGAAACTGTAGGAAGTAACGTGTCACCGGGAGATAGGAGCGCCAGCACTGCGGCCAAAATGAATATTTTTGACAGGATCATTTGTCTACTTGTTGCGGCTCAGACTAAACCCCCCCCCCTCTCTTTCCACCACGATTGTACTCGGAGATTGCGTATTTTTCACAGTTTATCCAGCTCTCTATTCCATTCATCGTTGCTTAGACTCGCTGGATGACTCGACCTCTATAACTTGAATGATTGTGATGATTTACAATTTTGGCAACCACGTAAGTTGCTTACAGTCCTGCCAGAAAGGTGAATCCAGGGTAAATAGTTCCGTATATTGCCATCCTTTTGATTTGGCTGAGGGGTCAGTTGCGCTGGTCACAGAATTGTGTTTTGATGTTTGATTCTTATAAATCAGTTAAAGATAATAAGATTCGTCCAATCAGCAACTTCCTACGTTGAATATAAACCGAGATATCGCGCCTCGAAAAACTCGATTTATGACGTCATCAACCGCGGTAGTAAATACCATGTTGTGCAGTACTGCGGTCGATGACGTCAAAAACCCGAATTTTCAATAGACGATATCTAGGTTGATATTCAGCGTAGAAAGTTGCTGTTTGGACAGATCCTCTTAGTTTCAGCTAATCTACAAGAGTAAAACATTAGAACACGATTCTTTTACCTGTACAACGATCCAATTATGAGTTTCATCCTAACCAAACCCTAATCAAATTTTAAGGGAGCCATGATGTATTCGGAACGAATAACCACGCAAGTTCACTCGCGAACAAATGCCCGTGCGATAGACGATAGAGACATCGGTCTTGCGGACTCGTGAATCGATGTGGTGAGCTAGTTTTCGGGAGGACGCCTACTGTCCTTCTCTCGCGTTTAAGTCTTTCGCAAGCGCGTGCGAATCCTCCGCGACCGTGGGCTCTCGCGATGAAATCGCCCGTCTGTCGAAGTTCAATTGTCGCAAATTTAGACAGTGTATAGGGTGACCCAAAAGTCCTGCGCCACCCCTGTAATCCTCAGAGTTCTCGCCCCTTCCTAAAACAGCCCCCCTGCAATTTTGCAATCTGCGCTTGTGAATCGTCGCCCGGCATTCTTTTGTATCCAAAGAGCTTCACAAAACCTAAGATGGGTTAGCTAATCGACAGTAGAGCCTCCGGTAGGCTTCTGAGTCCATATGAAGATATTCTATCCTGTGTATCCGCTGAAGAGAGTAGTTCCGTGTTTCGTTCCAATCGTTGAAAAGGGAAATGAGAGCCTCCAACGTCCGCCGCCCGCCGACCGAGCGAGGAGAAGGGAGACTATGAAACGGGCGATGGCCTTCGATTGGATCTATTGTTTTGACTTTTGACAGTATTTCGGGTGTCCCGGCATGCAGATGAGTTCCGGCCGGGAGAAAACACGAGAAGCACCCATACTGATATGCTAAGGAAGAACGCCGTATGAACCTTCACGCTTGCCAAGTTTCCTTTGATAAAGTACAAATTTATTAGGAAATTTTTAAATATTTTTCAGTGGCGTGGCGTGAATTGCGATTTATCGATTGTTATGGCATTTAAACCAATGGAAAAAGATCGATTATTTAGGTGCTCGCTGCGAACACTCTATCAATCGATGTTTTTCCATAGGTTTA